ATGATGGTGGTGCTAATGATGATGATGATGATGATGATGATGATGATGATGATGATGATGATGACGATGATGATGATGATGATGATGATGATGATGGCGACGATGATGATGATTATGATGGTGATGATGCTGATGCTGTCGATAATGATTATGATGATGATGATTATGAAGATGATCATGGTGATGATGCTGATGATGATGATGATTATGATGGTGATGATGCTGATGCTGCTAATGATGATGATTGTGATGCTGATTGTGATGGTAATGATGACGATGATGATGATGATGATGATGATGATGATGGTGATGGTGATGGTGATGGTGATGATGATGGTGATGGTGATGGTGATGGTGATGGTGATGATGATGATAATGATGAGAAGGAGGATAGTGATGCTGATGCTGATGATGATAATGATGATGCTGATCATGCTGCTGATGCTCATGATGATGCTGATGATTATGATGGTGATGTGGTGATGATGCTGATGCTGATGCTGATGATGATGATGATGATGATGATGATGATGATGATGATGATGATGATGATGCTGATGATGATGATGATGATGATGATGATGATGATGATGATGATGATGATGATGATGATGATGATGATGATGATGATGATGATCCACGCATCCAAGAAGGTCTGGAGCTCCCCGCTCGATACAGCCTCCCGAAGCCATGGCCTTTCCCTCTGGCGCTGCGGACGCAAGGCCTGACCCGTGCCGAGGCACACTCGCAGACTCGCCTGAAAACTAGAGGCCACGCCATCCGCCTCGGCCGAGGCAAACGGAAGGCAGGGCACCGAGCATTCACGGCAACTCAGCTTGCTGGCTGGCGGCACAGAGCAGAGCAAGCTGGGGCGCAAGAAGCGCAGACGCTGCCCAAGAGGGGCGGGAGGGAGTGAACCCTGGCGTGTGCCGAGCCCCACGGGGTACAGCCTACGCCACGGGGTCCCTCCCCCCCCAGAGGCAGCAGCTCGGCGCAGGCATTCGTGATCCTTGGACCCGCCTGCGACACGAGCAGATCCCGTGGAGGCACCAAGGCCCCCCAGCGGGCGGGCATCTGAGCGTCTAAGGCCTGGGGCGCCTCGAGTGGGACCCCGAGGAGGAAGCTGGCCGCTGCGAGGGCCAACCGCGAGGCGGCCGCCGCCTCCAGAAGCTCACCTGCAGACAAGAAGCCTGTGTCGATGCCATCGCCGCTGTAGGGATCGCAAACATCACCTCGATCCTCCACCACGAGGGACGAGAGCGAGCCATCGGATGCGTCATCGCTGTGCTCGCCCGCGGCCGCTGGCGCATCCGAGCTCATCGCGATGTACGCCTGCAGCTGCTCCCTGAGCGTGGCGAGCTGGTCCCGCAGCGCGTGCTCCGCAGCAGCCCAGCCTTCTCGTAGGGAGCGGATGTCCTGGGCCTGCTTCGCGACCAGGGCCCTGTACTGGGTGCGGTCCGACGCGGGATGGTGCAACTCCCCCCTCAGCATGTCCAGCTGGTAGTCGGAGCCGAAGCCGCGGCCCAGGTCCACGTCGGCGTTCGCGTCCCTGTGCTGCCTTGCGCCCTCCAGCTGCTGCAGGAGCGCCGCGTCCCGCAGATCCGATTCCAGCGCCTCCGCGAGCCGACAGGGGCTGCTCTCGAAGGTCCAGGCGACCCCAGTTGAGGCCTGGCTCAACCGCAGCCTGTCGGGCAGGGATAGCATGCCAACGATCCGTACCTGGAGCACCTCGGGCAGCGGGGCCAACAGGGCAGCGGCAGGCTTGAGCGCGGGCCGCTGTGCCGCCTCGAGCCGCTGGCGCGAGACCCGCCGCAGGCGATCGAGGTGATCCTCGCCCCCCAGGAGCTCCGTCTGGACGCTGCCGTCCGCTGCCACGGCGACGACCTGGTTCGCGAAGCTCACGATGGGGGGGCGCCGCCATCCATCAGTGGCGGCAGCGCCGCCCAGCACTGGGCAGTCCATGGCACCGGGAGCCTGGCAGTGCTCGTCGGGTGCCTCGCCGTAGTCGCCGAAGGGCAGCGCGGCCGCCTCCGGGAGCGAGGGCAGCCAGCCCAGGCGGGGGCCTGCGGCGGCCCGCGAAAGGCCCGCTGCGGACGCGCGCGCGAATCCGCCCGCAGGGACCAGCAGCGCGTGCCACGCGGCGTTCCGCCGCCGCCGCATTGCGCCTGGGACGCGGCATCCCGCGGCGGCTCGGCGCAAGGCGGGGCGCGCAGCAGCCTCCCGGTCCTGCCAGGAACCTGGGCCGCCGCTGGCCGCCTTGCCGACTGCCGCCGTGGCGGCGAGGAGGCGCCGCGCCCGCGCCCGACGGCGGGCCGCCGAGGCGCCTACCTCGGCCTCCTCCCTCCTGCGCAGCGCACTGCCACGCCTGGTGGGCCGCCCCGCCATCGCGCCTGCGGGCAGCCCCCCGTCGCCATTGCTCATCTCCCAGTCGCGCGCCGCTGACCGCTGCGCGTGGGCGCCTGCGAAAGTCCGGAGAAACAGCTTGAGCCAAAATGGCTAC